GTGGAGTTTCCAGTCCAAGCAGTAGTGATGGTTGTTTGAGGAATAGGAGTCTCAATTACTAATGTGTTGGTGCCGTCAGTTCCGTTTCTGGTGACTGTGGTGGTGAAAGAACCGGTCCATCCCTCAGTAGTACTGGCAGTACGTTGAACTGGTGTTTCAATGACGTCAGTGTTGGTTCCGTCAGTACCGTTTCTGGTAATTGTGGTCGTGAAAGTACCAGTCCATGCAGTAGTAATAGTACTAGTGGGTTTTCGTCTTGGAATAATACGACCGCTGGAACCTTGATCTTGGTTAACCCTACGATTCAAATGTGTTTCATATTCTTGATGCACTGCAGGTGATCCGCGACACTCGGTGTGAGAAATTACCTTAGTTTGGATAACATCAGTGCCAAGTTTGGTAAATTTATATTCAACGATTGGAGTTTGATCTTTCCAATAAGTAGTGTTAGTTCTGAAGTAGATTCTTTCGGCTGAGCATTCGGAGTAGGGCTCATCGTTAAGTCCAAGTAGACTAAATGTACTAAGACCCCATGAGTTTAATGACATTGCAAGATTTATTTTAACGGAATCACAATCAATGGTGGCCCCAGGCACCATCAAGGTTAATTCGTTGAAGGTGGAATCATCAGGGCAACTTGATGATGAAGATGATGCAAATCCTTCAAAGCTATCACTCGATGGGACATAACGGACAATGTTATTCAGATCAGTTGCCAATCTACCAAACTCTGCAGTCTCGCCGAAATTTGTTTCTGTATTCAATCTATAAGAACCATCGTCGAAGTAAATTTGACCCAATCCTGGAACAAAGTTTTGCGCACATAACTGATTAGCACTGCCGCCTGGTCCCCCAATATTAAAAGTGACAGGAATGAATGCCTTTCCTTCCACCACATCTCCATTATTAATCTCATCAGTGACAGTACAATACAAAAAGGAGTCTTGATCCGACAGTTCACCATTATTAATTGGACATATAGCATAGGTTTTGCCTTCGGCTATCAATTCGAATGTATCTTTTCCCAGAGTAACTGAATAGACACAAGGCATTAGAAGCAAGAATGTGTCTCCAGGGGCAACAAAAGTGGAATTCATTTGCCAACTTAGATGGGCAATCCAACTGGGCGTTGCAGGAGTAGCGACTTCAACCGCTGGTATAGCACTTAGTTCAAGAGAATCAAAGTGTGTGAAAACACCTTCGATATCCTTACTAGCTGCAAGAGCAAGTGCTCCTACAAATGTCACAATACTCAGCAACCTCATTGTGTGTTAGGGTCTTGACAGAAAGCGAGCAAAGGATGGGTTTAAGTAGTTCATCGAACACGTCCATCGAACATCGAACATCGAGCATCCTCATTCATCCACATTTAATGTAATATGCTGCAAGAACCTTCTTTGAAGATACGCAAAGACAGTGATTGGTTTAGTGCAGCATTTTTTAGTTAGTGCAGCTGCTTATTTTCCTTTCGTACTGTTCCCTGCAACGCGCATTGGAGTTATTTTACGAATATTTTTTGCGGCCTCCTATTTGACTCAGGTGAAATGAATCGTGAGGGGCACAACAATTAGTGGTCAAGATTTTCTTTTTCAGACAAGATTGTTTAGATCATTTCCAAACTGTACATAATATGTCTTCCCTAAGAAATCAACTTGCTTGTGTATTGTCGTTGCATACTTTTTTGTATCATAATGGAAACCCTCAGGCAGGGTGAGTTCCCTTTAGCTATGAAAAGCAATTTTGCATCTTCGGCTGCATGGTCATTCAGCGCACATTGAGGGTAGGAATAAGTCCGTGAAGGCTTTAGTCGCCCCAATAGAGATGTGCATAAGAAAGTTTCGCCGAAAAATATCGGACTAAAACAAACATAAAGAGTTCTCTTTTGGTAAAGCAAATTAAACCTATTTTTCGATTGTCACTTCAATAGGCTTCAAAATAATTTATAGTGTTCAAATCAAAGACATACAGCAGACAATGCCAACCTTGAAGGCGGGAATACGAGTTTGATCTCGCCACGGGTCTCCATGAATTCTGGTACTCTCGTTGTTCTTGGCTAGATTGATGATTGGTTGGATCTTGGCAGCATTATAGAAAATTATCTTAACCCGTAACTCTTTCTGCACAATTCTGACATGGACAAGTCCAAGAAGAATTATGTTTCTCTCGATCATCATTTTTGTATATCACCCATGCGTGGTCCAATCAACCAATCCTTTTGACTCTTCGCGTCTTTCTTCGGATAGTGGCCTGCATCCTGGGACAAAATATCGGTGCAGCTAAATTCCGGGAATAATTATTCTTGGAAGTTTGTTCTGAGGCCTTCGTTTTCATTCTTGTTAGAGTAATAAGTTGAGGAATTTGCCCTGAGACCTCTTTTAATTCAGGCAAGGGAAGGAATAAGAAAGATGTTATTTCGGAAGCATGTTGAGCTAGATTAGAAGATGAGCTAAGGTACCGAATCGTTTATTTCGTAGACGGAAATACAAACCGTTTCTGGTAAACTGCACACACATTCGCATCACCGTAAATACTAGTTCAAAATAAGTCATGGAAATAGCTTAATTTTCCTCACCTAAGGAGGTTGACAAAGTTATTTTTTCCAGAGAATTGACGTATGCTCATCAAATCTTTAGCTAGCACCCCTCTTTAAACCCGAGTATTGATAGAAGGTTAGCCTTTCGCAGAAATGCGTAGCTTTGTTATCGAAATTAAAAACTAGATTTCATGGTTAACTAAAGAGGGAGATAGTTCTTAGAAGAATACTTGTGGATCTTGGTATTGAAGCATCGTGGATCGTAGGGTTCAGCACACATTTGTTGCAACGCTCCAGATGAGGATATTGAGTTAAACACGACCATTCAACAGAATCCCTATATGGGAAGAATAACCAATACTAGGGGAGATGTTAGGAGATCTAATGTTGCAAATATGCCCCAGAGTATGGTAGTAAGGATGTTTTCCAGAGTATGGTAGTAAGGATGTTTTC